TTCCCGGGCAGTCAAACGAGCCGCGCAGTGCCAGCGCGCCAGAGCCTGGTTGAAGAGGGACACCGCCCACGAGAAGGATCAGCCCGGGTGGAAAACTCGGAAACGCCAGCGGATCTCCACGCAAACGTGGTTGGAGAAGGTCGACAACCAGCTGCGATGTAGCACGTCCCTGCCCGGCCTAGTTTTCATCAAGCCTGTCTTGGGCGACGGTGCTTGGGATGCAAGCGTTTGGTCGCAATGGCCGAGGTGCGTCTTGAGTTCAGATCAGGGTGGCGATGGTCTGAGCGCCATCCACGCAGCGTTATACAAGGAAGATTTGGAACTCAATATTTGGCCCTTCTGGGATTGGTGCCACGGTGCTAATCGTGACGTCATTGCAACGTTTACTTCGGTCAAGAAGTTTTCGCTGATGCTGTTGATGCTCATGGTACTGAACCTGAAGCACGGGCCGGAGAAAGAGGAAGGCATGCGTTATGAGCAAATGCTCGCTGCGGTGTCAGACATGACGAATACGCACACCTCGGCCTTCCCTTTATTCCAAGAGCATGCTCCGAGAATCTTGGAGGAGATGGGGGATCTCGTGCCTGACTCTGGAACCGGAAATCGGGTGCAAGATCTCTGGGACCACATTGCGAAGACTTCTGGATTCTGGGCCCAGGGGTACAAGGTGAAGCTGGCGACCTGGTGCGCTTGGAGTAGGGCTGGCAAAGATTTCCTTCCCGAGTGGACCCTCGCCCTCCTGAAGGTCACGCACGTTGGCCTCGAGATGGACATGTTCAGCAGGAAAGCGTTCAAGGAGAAGATCTTGATCAAGCCGGCCGTCGTAGAGCACGCCTTGGGACCTGCCTTCGACACAACTTCAACTGCTGTGACAGCGGTGGACGCGAAGATTGTCCGGGATTGTGCGCACAACGCCATTTCTGGAGCATATTCAATCCTTTCCAACGATAGCTACCAAAGACAATTTGTGGTGATGGTCGAGCTCACGCAGCCAGTGACTATCTGGCAGGCGAGGTGCCAGAAACAACTCCGAAGCGTTTCCATGTCGAAGGCATGGCTTGTGGAGCAATTGCACGGCGGCTTTTTCAAGGTCTACGTCGACACGATGTCTATGTTGAGGGCTTCGCCCTATGCTGCCAGACGGTCCCTTGATCGACGGGTGGCTGCTCGTTTGGTCCGCCTGTTGATTCGTGGTTGGGAGCGAGCCCATGAGCCTCGCAACTTCCATGGGCCATCGTATCTTTGTGAACCTCATTATGTAGCTTGTGGGGGGTGGCGGAAGCAGGGGAGGAGGTAGATGGGGTGGGGCGAGCCCGGCAAGCACGGAGGCAAACATAGTGGTGGAAGGGGGAGGGCGGAGGGCAGACAGGAGGGCCGGAGGGGAAACGGGGGCGGGAGAGCGATGCTTCCAGGAATGAGGGAGGGGATGAAGGAGCTAAGGCACGATCCGCTCCACGTCCAAGGCAGCGCCAGTTCCGTCGCTCCTACGTGCGCTCTTGCCCAGCGCGATCTTCTCGTTGGAGGTGTCCCCCGGCGAAGGCCCGAGACCGCCGGAAAGGGCCCCAGGATCACCTAAAACAAACCAAATCATGCAAAAGAGCCCCTCAGGGCCGCCTGAGGAAAGCAACACAAATCACTCCAAATGGCCCGTCGGGGTTGCCCGGGGAATGCAACGCGAATCACTGAAACTGTTCCCTCGGGGTCGCCCGGGGCATACATATGGTTTGGTCGGACACGTTTCTGACGCCCCCTCCGCCGCGTGCGGAGGATGGGGGGCGTCAGTATGCAGCGTAGCAGCATACCGCGTTACAAAGAAGGCCCCAAGGGGGCCCCAAGAGAGATTCAACTTCTGAAGTTACCGTGCCCCACTAGATCCCCGCAGCCCCTTAGATTCCAGTCCCCTTTAAATTCCCGTACCCCCTTACATTCCCGTACCCCAATTCGATTCCCGTGCTCCCTTACATTCCCGTACCCCCTTCAACTCCCGTGCCCCCTTCAATTCCCGTGCCCCCTTAATCTCCCGCACCGTCATAAATTCCCGCACCCTTTTAAATTCCAGTACCCCCTTAAAACCCCGAACGCTCTCAAATTCTTGTACCCCCTTAGATTCCCGTGCCCCCTTAAATTCCCGTATCCCTTTAAACTCCGTTACCCTTTTAAATTGCAGTACCCCCTTAAATTCCCGTACCCGTTTTGAAATCCCCGTACCCCCTTACATTCCCGTACCCTTGTTCAGTTCTTAGGGTTAGGATTTTAACGGGTTGCCACGCAAGCGCCGTTTAGGAAATCCAGTGGTGCAAGATATCGTGTAGCAAGAAAGGTTTCGTGACAATTTCGTGCCCGTTGCACTGCTGACGCAACTCATCAAATTGCCGCTCCCCTTGAAGGGGAATTGGAAACGTAACGGTTCCCCCCCCCCCGCCGCCTTGTGGGGGAGGGGTGCCATAGCCATATTGAGTTTCAGGGGGGGGATCGCTTCACGAGGGGGGGCTTCAATTGCGCCACCTTGACTTCCCGATGGTTTTGGGCCCCCTTGAGTTACCGACGCCCCCAAGTGGCCCGGCTCTATATGAGCTTCGTTGACCCCGTGAGTTTTTTTTCAGTCCTACCAAACATAGTGGCCCTTGTGAGCCACTTGCGCCTTATGGCACCCGTGAGCTGCGCTCTGTGCAGTTCTATGTGCAGCCCTATGGGGGAAGCCCGGGAGCTCGGTTCGCGAGGTTTGGAAGCCTAGTGCGGTGCCTTATCAGAAGCCTTACGGGAAGGCCCATGTACGAGGGGCCCTCTCGAAGCCTTGAGAATACCCCGAGAAACCTCCAGGGAAGAGAGAATCTCATCAACGATCCCCGCCCAGAGAGCTGGTGGGGTTTCAGGGCCAGTACAAGGCATGACAGGGGCGTTTGCAAAGTATTGCAAGGTTTTCCAGGGCAAGGCAAGGTCGTTATGCAGGGTATTGCAGGATACTGCGGAGCTCTGGCTTGGAGGGTATTGCCGGGTATTGCAGGGTCGTTTTGGAAGGTATTGAAAGGTATTGCAGCGTCTGCGCGAAGTCTGTGCCCCCCCTTTTTGCAGGGTATTGCAGGGACTGCGGCGAAGTCCAGGTGAGAGGGTAGAGAGAGGGGCCACTAATGGAAGTTGGAAGAGCGAACGGGCTGAACCACCTACGCCGAGAGGGCTGGTTGGATTAAGCACGGTCCGTTAGTCCGCACCGTCCGCCAGCACTCCCAAAGCCTTGGGACCACCTGCCCGGCACCCTACTACACGTTGTTGGACTCGGTGGGCCAGAGCTTTTGAGAAGAGGTTGGAGTTGCACGCCAAAACTCAATTGGCACTGTCATGCAACACACTGGCAGCAAAAGCCTACCACGATGGACATTTGTTGAACGCTTTCGCGTGTGTGTTGGGCAGTGTGAGCTTTGTGGGCCTTCTGGGCCTACGGTGTGGGCTGTGTGAGCTCCATGAGTCCTCTGAGCCGTATGGGCGCCATCAGACCCATGGGCTCGACGATCCTTATGAACATTATGGGCCTTACGGGTTTTATGGCCCCTGTGGGCCCTACGTGGTCTTCGCGCCCGATTCTCTATATGGGCATTGGGAGCCCCAGGAACCCAATGAGCCCTACGGAATTGATTATCCCCATGTGACCCCGATGGGCACTGAAAGCGCTATGAACGCTGTGGGCCCTCTGAGCCCTCTTTGCATCATGGTTCCCATGGACCCCGCGGGCCCCAGGAACCCAAACGGCCCTGTGAGCCGTAACCACCTTCTGTGGGGAGAGCCCCCATGGGCCTTCGGGGTCTCATGAGCGGCATAGGTCCCATGGGCAGCAGGGGACACATGGTCCCAATGAGCATTACAGTTAGGTGGCCTCGCCATGGGGTCGGCGCATCTTGCGCTCCGACTCGTTTTTGCGCAGCGGGAAGTTCTTGGACGTGGATCCCTGCGCTACGGAGGCGGAGCGGCAGGGCCACGCATACATTGAGGATGAGTTCGCGAGCCTTGCTGGCAACGTCGCGTTGACCATGGTACGGACGCGGTCACGCCGTTTGTTGTATTGCACGGCTGGTTACCCTCAGTCATCGGCGGTGGCTTTGTTGGACGACGACGCGGCCTCGAAGTTCGCAAGGAGCTTCTATTCGGATCTCGATGCTTACAAGCGGGTGTCAGAGCGAGCGAACCAGACAGTTACCGTCCGCAAAGCGTTGGAGAGGTCACCCTTTCGCACGACCGCTGTAAAACAGCTCGTGGCCGGCTTCGATAAGACCAAAAAGCCCGATGGGACCTTTCAGCATTCTGCGGAGATGAAAGATTTCTTGACAACCACGTTGTCGGCAATGATTTCATCTGCACCAGTGGAGGAGTTGCACAATTACGAGAAGAACAAAGCCCAATATCAAGCAGCCGCCAAGAATCGCACCCCAGAGCGGGCCATGGCGGTTGGGATTGGCAGTTGTCTGGTGGACCAGCGGAATAAGATGGACATCGTATCCCCGGCCCCCTTGGCCTCGAAGGGCCTGACTCTATCGAAGGCGTCTTTTGGGATCGAGGCAGAGGAGCCGACCGTGAAGCTAAACGACGTGTCCTCGAACCGCTCCGTGGCGCCGTGGTTCTCTCCGCCAGCAGCTAATACAGGGCTGCCCGCAGCAGATTTAACGGCGCTGCGAGCTGAAGCCGAAAAGCCGGGGTCTTTTGATGAATTGAAAATGGGTGCCTTCTGCAACTCCAAGCACAATCTCTTGTTCCGTCGTAGCGGCGCGCCTTCGGATACGGAGTTCCCCTGGCTGCTGGCGATGGACCACTACTCCAGTAGTGCCGTTGTTGTTTGGCCTGCTCGGCTCGCCATGGTGCCTCTCTACCCTGGTGTTTTCGAGGTCGAGTTGGATCTTTCTATCGAAAGCTTGCCGCTGGTGGCCGTCACCACGTGGAGCGGATTCGAAGCAGTGCGGTTCTCCTGGAGATCGCCTGCGTGGACGCGGCTTCACTACCCCAACTCCGGGCTGCCTCCAGCAATACGTGGCATCGTGACGTGCGATCCAGAGCCGCTGAAGACCGTGGCAGCGAACATGTGCTTCTTCGACTTCGACCTCGCCCTCCTCCGGTGGCTGGCGCCCCGCATCGACATCCCGCTGCCAGGGAATTTAACCCTCGCGGAAACGCTCTTCTTCATGATATCGAACGTCCGCCCTGGGCTCACAGAGGACGAGGTGTTCAACATCGTGGCCTTGCGCGTCGCAGTGGAGCCCGAGGAGTGCGCCGCTGAGTTCCTGCAGGTGGACGAGGGCGCCAAGTTGCTGAGCCCAGAGGACGAGAAGGAGATAACGAAGCAGCAGAAAACGTTGTCGACTGACCGCGAGAGCAAAGCCACGCTCGTGGCAGACATGGTCGACTGCAAAGCTCGGAGGCGGGCTGCCGCCGCCGATGCTGCCGGCAAGGGCCGTGGCAAGGGTAGAGGGAGGGGCCGGGGCGCAGGCCGGGGCGGGCCTGCCCCGCCGCCGCGGTCATTGGACCGAGAAGCCCTCGCGATGATGGAGCAATCGGAGGCCAAAGTGTTCATGCCGCCCAATTCTTTCCTTTGGAAAAGCCGCGCCGATGCAACGTGGCACGGTCGTTTCAGTGACTTCCCCACGCACAATCGGAGCACGTCCCTGTGGGGAGAGGACGCCCTTTGGATCGTGATCAGCCTTTGCTGGCGCGACTGGTGCTGGTCGACAGCAACCAGCATGGCAGACTGCCCGATGACGGGTTTGTGGGCTGAGCCCGCAGCTTGAGCAATGTAGTTCGTCTTTGTTGTTGCGCGAGCATGGGTTAACGCAGCAAGTACAGCTATGCCACGCACGTGCACTGTAACATGTCACGCAGGGCTTCCAAACATAACATGTATATACAATAGAGTGTCCATGTTGATACGTATCATTGCCATACATGATGCGGCAATACGAAAGAGCTGCGCGCGCAATCACGTCGCACAATTGCCCCGCGCATTTAGGCAGCAGAGCGTTCGCCATCGCACTCCGACTGCAATGCGTTTCCTGCAAGCTGGCAACATGGTAAGACATAGGTGTTGCTCAGCTCTGCATATTCGCCCCCACGCCGGGGCCGATTTTCGGTATTTTCAGTTTCGCTGCTGGGCGGGGTGTTCGTCAGGCCCGCCCGCGGCCCACAGTCGCATGGACATGCCCTTGCGACGTGCGCACCGCCAAAACACAGCCCCGACGTTATTGCCAGTGGCGGGTGCGCGCAACGATATGAATAGATTTCGGAATGCCCGGTTGAAAGGTCACCGTGCGTAAAGAATTGTTGACGCTTCGCGTATCCCCACCAGCCCATCCAGAAACGACGCCCTGGCGAGCTGAGGTGGCCAGGGAAGTGTGGGATCACCGAAGGGGGCAACCGAGCCAAACGAAGGAGGGATGAGAAGACGGAGGAGGCTAGCTGGATGGATGGATGAGGGGGTGTGGAGAATGATAGTAAACAGGAGGAGGAAGAAGAGGAGGAGGGCGACGAGGTGGAGGAGGAGGAGGCGGAGGAGGAAGAGGAGGTGGAGGAGGGATGAGGAGGAGGAGGAGGAGGAGGAGGAGGGGAGAAGAGGAGGAGGAGGAGGTGGAGGAGGAGGATGCGGAAGAGGAGGCGTTATGATGATAAGGTGCAGGAGAAGAGGGAGGATGAGGGCGAGGACCAGCAGGATGGCCATTAGCATTTTGAGTGCCTCTCGGATGCCTCTTGGAAGCCTTTTGGAAGCCATTTGGAAGCCTCTTCGGGCGTCTTGGGGGTCTCTTGGCGGTCAATGGGGGCTCTTGGGCGTCTTGGGTGCTTGGGGGGGGACCTGGGGTCGCTTGTGGTCTTTTTGGGGGGCTCTTGGGGACCTCTTGGAGGCCTCTTGGGGCCTCTTGGGGGCCTCTTGGAGCCTCATGGCGGCCTCTTGGGGCCCTCTTGGAGGCCTCTTGGGGGCCTCTTGGGGCCATGTTGGGGCCATCTTGGCGCCTCTTGGGGCCTCGTTGGCGCCTCTTGGGGCCATTTTGGAGAACACCGATCAAACAAGAGGGGAGCTCTAATCAGCGTCGCCCCTCTAGAGCCTCTAAAATCGCCTCTTGGGGCCCTCTTGGGCCGCTCTTGGAACGCTCTTGGGCGCTCTTGGGGCCGTCTTGGGGCTCTCTCGGGCCCCTCTTGGGGCCCTCTTGGGCCAACTTGGAGCCATCTTGAGGCCTCGGATTGCCATCGGAAGCGAAAGGGCGAGAAGGCGAACATCATTTGATTGTCTAACGTGTTTGAGGAATTCTGGCTTCTTGGAGGCCTCCCTGGGAAGCTCTTTGGCCTCTTGGGGACGTCTTGGGGCGGTCGTTGGGCCTCTTGGAGCATCTTCGGAGCAATCTTGAGGCATCTTGGGCTATCTTGAGCCATCTTGGAGCTCATTTTGGGCTTTCTGAGGCGCTCTTGGAGCCGTCTTGGGCCATTTGGGACGCTCCAACGCGTCTCGAACCTCCCCGTCCAGGTCCAGTGGAGGGGGTAGGGGGAGGGGCAAACCCCTCCCCGAAGGGGAAGAAGGAGGTTGGAAGAGGAACCCCCCTAGACCACCTACGCCCTAAAGGGCTGGTGAGATTCGTGGATGAATGCCGCGGTGACGAGGACCTCAAAAGACAGCCAGATTGCTGCAGAGATGGTTGGCTTAGTGTGTGAATGCGTGCGCGTGGCCCGAGATCTCCCACTGCCACTGCGATCGGCCGCGTCCAGGGGGCAAGTTCGGCGTCGGTGTGCTTCGGGGGCACGGGGCCGCTCTCGGGCGTGGGGGTATTCGTGCCAGTGCGATTCCACAAGATCCAATCACCCACCCTGCGAGCAATCACTTTATGAGGCCGACGCCGACCCGCTCGCCCCCGGACGAGGCCGACGCCAATCCGCCCGCTCGGTTTTTCGGTCCGGGTTCCAGCGGGGGTCAGAGAAAACGGAAACGCACGCTCTAGCGATGCGGCATCCTATGCCCGATGTCGCACTGGTGCTGTGCCACCCACAGAGAAAAGCCCCCCGAAATCACCTGGCATAAGCTGGGTTTACGAGCACCCGCGTATCGACGGCGACTAAGGGGGAGGGGCGGCCAGGGCGGTTCTGGGCGCCTGTGTCGAGTCGTCCAATGGAGTACGGCACATGCTTTGGACTGGCGAAGTGAGTGCCCGCACCCCCTCCCCCGGGTTCGCCCCGCCGCCCGCATTCTCCCAACTCGCGAAGCAGCCGTCGAGCTGTCGACTCCTGCCCCTGCGCGCTGTAGCTTTTCGAAACGTCCCGGGGGACCGAAAAAAGGAGCAGCAGTAGATATGTATAGATCCGGCCCCCCTAAGTCAGGGATGCAACGAATCCCACCAGCCCTTTGGGCGTGAGTGGTTTAGCGAGCTCTCTCTGTCCTCAACCCCCCTTCATCCTTTTTTCTATTTTTTCCCCCGCAGAGGGTCTCCCCGAAGGCGCGAGTGAAGCCTGGGGCTGGAACGACAATCTTCACTTGTGCGGCCGCAATCACACAGCATGCCTCCCCAAAGGTTCGAGTGGAGCTCGGGGCTGGGGTCGACATGCAAAACCGTGCAGCTGCAGTCGCACATAGTGTGTCTCCCCCAAGGTCCGAGCGGAGCTAGGGGCTGCCAGCGACAAGCAAAACTGTTTAGCTGCAGTCACACATAGTGCCTCCCCCAAGGTTCGAGTGGAGCTCGGGGCTGCAACTGCAATTTAAAGGTATGTGGATGCCATGCTGAGTCGCTGGGGCCAGCTGATGCGGATGAAGAAGAACAAAGAAGAGTAGTAGAAGGGCTTGGGTGCGCGTGCTGATTTTTGGAAGGGGGAGGCGATGAAAAAACGCGCATGGCCATCATTGAGTAACACGCGTCAACTATCATGAAAGACATCCGGACCACGGTCGCCGCAGTCACACGCAGAGTCTGCCCCGAGGCTCGAGTGAAGCCTGGGGCTGGAACGACAATGAGAAGAGCCACAAGACAACGCAGCAGCACAACACTTTGCCTCGGGATCATGCCAGCTGGAAAATGAAGGCCCGGCAGAACAGCGGGTTTTAAACGGTGGCAGCCAAAAGGCGCTGCCAGGCCACGAGGAATACCGGGCTGCCGCAAGTCAGGGATGCCACGAATTTTCTGGTAGATAGTCGTTAACGTTACGAGATATAATGTACATACATGCATTGATGCACTGTGGCACCCCCCGGCGCCACTGTGAGGTGAGCGAGCAGGCGTAGGACGGCTGGGCAGCGACGGGTCGTGGCCACGAGGGCCAGCCGGTCCCCCCGGCACCGCTCCTCGGGGGCCTCAGGCAACATAGTTCCGCAAGAAGTCCGTCCGGCACGCCCCGTTTCACTCAGTGTTTCTGCGTTTCTGCCGGTTGCTTCCTTTCATTTCGATGTGACCTACCATTTCTCCGTTTTCAAATCCGTTGGACCTGTAGTTCCCAACAACACTAAACACTACAGGCTCCGAATCATGCTTGACGATGCTGCCCTCGAACTCTATTTGAACATCCCAATGAATCTCTAACCACGCGATGCGGCCTTTTGAGCTACCGGCTGGGCAATGCACCTTGCCATTAACCACTTCGGGACATCCCTCGGGGATGCCCCACTGGCTTTCCATATAGCCGTCCATGGACCCGTTGGGGTAAAAATACATGCGGTACTCGCACTCGATCCTGCTCCCGAAATGTGGATTATCCTGAAAAAACCCGCGCAAAAGACAATTCTCGAGCGGCCACTTGTTGACGCCGACCATGCTTTCTCTTTCCTGCCTCATCGCCACGAGGCTAGCGTGTAGAATCCGCTTGTGCACGCTCCGACTGCAGCAGCAGAAGGAAATCAAACGGGACGCGCAGAAAATTGAAATTGAGCCCAAGGCGGCAAAAATAACGGCCCACCACAAGCTGAATAACGCTTCAGGCTCCTTGGGGTCCCTCCAATGAATGACCACATTGCTGCCGTCTGCAAAACTCCCGTCGCCTAATATAGCTGCCTCAATGTCTTGAATCATTCCCGATATCACCAAAGTGTTCAGCACGAAATCAGCGATGTCGGACACCAGACAGCAAATTGAGAAGGCGACGGCCAACCAACGTATACAGGCCTTTGCATCTACGAACTTTTCACCCAAGCACGCGGAAACACTCATGAGCACAAAGCCGCACAAACCACATCCTAGCTGCGTGAGGCCCAAACCGTTTTGCCAAGCACCAGCCAAATTATCCTTGATGTACGTCATATGCTGGCTTCCTGTGCCGTGTTCAAAACAGTTTGCGTCGACGAACAATTCCGCGAACCCGGCCGTTGAATACAAGTATGTCATTCTGAAGGCTACAACCCCGATGTCACCAATTAAGGATACAATCAGAAACGTTGAGATCGCACTGCGCGACAGGATCGCCCCTCCCATCTGTCCTTTTCCTCCTATGCCTAAGGCGTTAAGCATCATAGCGTTGAGCTTGCCGCTGGTCAGCAGTCCAAACGGGATTTCCATGACATCCATTGCTAGGTCCACCGCTTTTGCGGCCACTGATACCTTCACGGTGCTGCGTATCTTAATCCAGTTGTCGCAGTGCTGTCCACACTCCAAATGGGAGGGGAGGCTAGGATGAGCTCCGAGGGCCATTCCTTCGCACGTTGCATTGTCGAAAGCATGGTTTGGTGGCTGCCAGACGAAGTCCGTTGGCACTGTAATCGTAGTGGCAGAGCCGGTTGTGGCCCAGGCCATATTCGAAGCCATCATCATTGCGGAGATAATCGACATGGCGCTGGAATGTAACCGACTAAGCGCTAGCCAAGTTCATCCAACGGCAGCGCCCCTTGAGCCAAAATGGTTACGGTCACAAGAGGCTTCACATTGAACTCCCTCACGGAAGGATTCCATTCGAAGCCCTCCATAGAAGGATTCTTCTTGAACCCGACCACGAACGATTTCCCCCATTGGCATTGCATTGGCATTGAACTGGGATCGCTTTGGCATTGGCTTGGCACTGCGTTGGTATCCCGTTGGCATTGCGCTGGCGAGTTCTAGTGGCTCCCCCACAGAAGGATTCCTATCAAAACCTTGCACAAGGAGGAATCCTTTTGAAAACCGCCACATGAAGGATTCAAAGTAAAACCCCCCACAGAAAGATTCCAATCGAAACCCTCCACGGGCGGATTCCTATCGAAATCCTCCGAAGAAGGATTCGTAACCAAATCATCCACGTAAAGATTCCTAGTGAAATCTGCTGGAAGACAGGAATCACGCCATCGGCATTGCATTGGCATTGGTTTGGCAAAGGTTTGGCATCGCATTGGCACTGCGTTGGCCTTGCGATGGCAGTGCGTTAGCAGTGCGTTGGCATTGCGTTGACATTGCGCTGGCGAGTCCTACTCAAACACTTCACAGAAGGATTCCTATTTAACACCCCCACACAAAGGATGCCTATTGAATCCCCCCACAAGAAAGATTCAGATTGAAATCCTCAACATAAGGGTTCCATGCGAAGCCCTCCATAGAAGGCTTCCGATTGAAATCCCCCGAATAAAGGGTTCTTAGAAGGATTGCCATTGAAATCTACAACAAACAATTCCCCCCAGTGGCACTGCCTTGGCATTGGTTTGGCATTGCGTTGGCACAGGTTCGGCATTGCGCTGGCGAGTTCGAATGGCTCCCACCACAGAAGGATCCCTTACCTTCCACAAGAAGGGATCCTTTTGAAAGCCCCCCACATAAAGGATTCATACTGAAACCCACCACGGAAGGATTCCAATCGAAACCCTCCACAGGTAGGATTCCTTTCGGAATCTACCACAAAGGATACACCCCATGGGCATTGCATTAGCATGGAAGTGGGAACGCCTTGGCATTAGTTTGGCATTGCGATGGCAAAGCTCTGGCATTGCGTTGGCATTGTGCTGGCGAGTCCGAATGGCTCCCTCCGCAGACGGACTCCTATTAAAACTCTCCACAAGAACGATTCCGATTGAATCCCCCCACATGAAGGATTCCTAGTGAAACCCTCCACATGAGGATCCCTATCGAAACCCTACACATAAGCATTGCTATTGAAATCCTCCGAAGAAGGATTCGTAATGACATCATCCACAAAGTGTTCTTATTGAAATCCACCGAACGAAAGGATTCCCCCATTGGCATTGCATTGGCATTGGTGTTGGTCGGGAATGGATTTGTACCGCATCGGCATGCATTGGCCTGGTGCAGGAGATAGACAGAGAGAGAGAGAGAGAGAAAACACTAGATAACGATATCACGAGAAAAGACTAGTATGAGGGGATCACGGCGAAAAAAAATGACAAAAAACAATCAAAGTTTAAGGGTGAAAGAGCGTTTCACTAGAGAAAAACCGTATGAACACCACGAGGGGCTCCACAATCCCCCGGCCTCTCCCCCTCCCCCTCCCCATCCTCCACTTCGAGGATGGCCGAGGGGGGCGCTCTTGCGAGCGACCGTCCCGCCCTGGCGCGCACGGTGCCTCGAGGAAGTTTGCGAAGACGTCGATTGCGGCGAACCCGATGGCGTGGCCGCCGATGCCAGCCACGACCTACGTACCGCCCAGAGGGGCCAAGGGCAAAACCACCCCTTCTCGCACGACCGAAAGTTTGGCCGTTTGCAGCTTGTGGGAGCTCTTGCCAGGCGCAGCGTCACAGAATGCCGCCAGGAGGCGCAGGGGCACAGCGCAGAATTATAGCGAATGGCCAGGAGGACGCTGGACCCCCACCTCCTCTCGGGGCGAATAGATCGCGACCTAAGGCTTCTGGCCGCTGACGGCCTCTGGGGGCCCTTGCCAAGGCCCCCCGGACTGTCAAAGCTCAGGATGAAGAGCAAGTCACCGGGAAAAGGTCCAGACCTCCAGACACAGACCCCCGGTGCAATGATTTTGTCTTAACGTCGGCCCCCAGGGGCCTCGAACCACTCCCTGGGACCGGTATTTCATCCTGAATCGCTTGCACCGAGGCCCGGTAAGGGCCCCCAGGGGCCCAGAGGCCGAGAAGAGGGAGGGAGAAACCCTCCAATCGTGATGGTGTTCATGACCCGAAGGGGTCTGGGGCCGCAGACCCCCAAGGAGGCCCAGGGGAGACGGCGGCGACGCGCACCGTCGGCCGCGGCCGCGGCCTGGAAAAAGCGCGCGCCCGCTGCCGGCGAGGGCGCGCCGCTGCGGCGGCCCGTGGCCGCCGTCTGCTGTGAGCCTGCTGGTTTCCTCCTCCTCCTCCTCCTCCTCCTCCTCCTCGCTCCTCCTCCTCCTCCTCCTCCTCGCTCCTCCTCGCTCCTCTTCGCTCATC